CGTTGTGTCTTTTTCAGGATTTTCTTTTGTCTCCTTGCCCTATTTCCCGTTTTTCTTTTCTTATATTTTTCCCTTGTAGTGAACTCCTTTCTTTCTTCGTAGTGATTTTCTTCCATTCTTGTTTACTCCCCTTTTTTTGTTGGGACACACTCTTCTCTTTTAATTTTCCCTGCACCACTGTTAAACCCAGTGAAATCATTTGTCTGCTTATTGTTTCCCTCGCCTTCTATCGCTTTTTCTATGTTTTGGCTCTCATTTTCACTTCCTTCCATTTTAATATCTAGCCTATCGTATTTTTTCCATTTTAATGGTTCACACGTTTTTTTTAAAATTTTGCATATTTCTTTAAATATGCCCAATACCCAATTTATAATTTTCTATTTTTTCTTCTTTAAATTATGTCTCAAGGAAAGAAATTTTCTTCTTTCTTCCACTGTTGTAAAAGGGCATAGTCAAACAGCCTACGCTAAATCCAAAGTTCCAAGATTCTCACCATTCCATTTCCCTTTGAGATCAGCTCTTTAGGTTTCATATTCTATGTTTCTGCCAGATGACACTTTCTTCTTTCTGGAAGGTGGCTCCGCTTCTCGTTTTTTTTTTCCAGTCAGATGTCAGAAATGTAGATTTTAACTCCCCAGGAACACAAAATACAAATTACCTTATTTTTCAGAGTATAAGACGCACCAAGGTTTCAAAGAGGCAAATTAACAAGAAAAGTAGGTAGGTAGGTAGGTAGGTAGAAGGATAGAGAGGGGAAGAGAGAAATAGAGAGAGATAGAAAGATAGAGAAATACAGTAGGTAGGTAGAGGGTGTAGGTAGAGGGATAGAGAGAGAGAAATATAGAGAGAGAAATACAGTAGATAGGTAGGGAGAGAGAGTAGGTGGGTACGTAGGTAGATAGGGGGAGAAAGAAAAATACAGTAGATAGAGAGTAGGTAGGTAGGTGGAGAGAGAGATATATACAGTAGGGAGGGAGGGAGGGAGAGAGAGAGAGAAGATAGGTAGATGTTTCCAGGTGTATTTATCCATGTGCTGGAGAAGGAAATCGCTGACAATCTGCAGCACCCAAGACTTTGTTTCTGCTGGCACAGCCGTGACCCGTCAAAAGCGCGGACGGCAAAAGCGCGATCGACAAAATCGCGCCTTTGACGTCATCACAGCGCGCCGAAAAAG